TTTTTTTTTTTATATAATAAACAAAAAAAGTTTCATTATTAGTAGAACATACCGTCTAGGGTGGTCAACTTATCAAAAAAGATAAAAATGTTTCTGTAAAAATTTTGAGAATACTTAAATATAATATAGGATTCACATAAAATACGATAGAAAAAGTCAATAATGAGTCCATAAGTAACATGGTTAGCTGCAAAGTCGACCATTATTTTAATTTTTTTTCAGCAACAAAATTTCACAATAAAATATTTTACATTTGAATTCAATTTTCTGACTTTTTAATTACATATTCTTAAAAAATGTGCTATTTCAAAATTTATTTTCCTGCTATGAATGGGGCTTAATTTTTTGTTAAAAAGTAACAGTGCGGAGCTGTGAATCGGCGTACAAAGAATTGAAGCCGAATTAAGAAAGAAACAGTGAAAAGAAAAAGGAAAAGGAAAGGGAATATTAAAATTAACCATGTTTGGAAGATAGTGTAGACACATCAATTCGATTCCTTTGATTGTAACATCACTTCTCACTCCGATTCATCTATTGCATATAGACAGAGATTTTGGAGAGAGAATAGTGATTAGTGAGATCAATGGCATCATTCGACGCGTTTAGCATGGACGGAGATGCCTCGGCGCGTGCATTTGACGACGGTGGATTCACCGGTTACGCCGCCTTCACCATGCCTGAAACTCCGCCTTACTCGGCTTCCGGTGGCGATGGAGTGTATACTACGGAGTTCGAGGAGTCGGAATATGTGACAGTGGATCACGTATCGCACTCGGTGGATAATTCCGATCCTTTCGGATTCGGGTCGAGTCCTGATTCGGTCCCGTTCTCGAATGGCAACGGGAAGGCACCTTATGATATTGGCCAAGATTCGGAGGGAATGTTTAGCTCTGACGGTCCGATCCTTCCGCCTCCCACTGAGTTGCAACCTGAAGAAGGATTCGCTCTTCGTGAATGGCGGAGGTTAGTTTTTTCATACTAGATCAGCAATGTGAATATTAACTATTTGATGCGGTTAAGTCTATAATGTTGTTAGATCTATTGCTCAATGAGAACAACGTCTACTTAATTTCTAACCAGACTCCAGGTTTGTAAAATGATGCGATTATCTTTTCTCTCTCGATCTTTTTTTTGCATTTATCGGATGATATATTGGCGTAACTTAAAAGGATCTAGTAGCTTGATCTATTCAAGTATGATTTTGGGGGTCTTGGCATTGCTTGCTTATTTTTCTTATCTTGGAACATTTATTTGTTCTCCTTCAACTCTGTCAGATCATTTTATTTACACGGTGGTTATGAAGTTTAACCCATGAATCCAGTTGTAAACTTGAGCGAAAATAGATCTTATTCTTTTATACTACTTGGTACGTTTCACGTGGCCATCTGATTGGTTCTAACCCCCATCAACAGTGTGGATTGTTAGCTTGTTTTGATATTCAGAGATAAGTATGGATTCCAATATGAATTTTCTGTATATAATTTAGAATTCTGAAGTTTTATAGACAAAATCGCTCTTTGGAGAGTTCTGTTCATGATCTGTTGATTTGAAATCTAGATATTTGGTTTGATGAGCCGTCGAATTTTTATGGACTTGTAGGTTTGGGAAGTAGCAAAATCAATTATTATCAAGACAAATGATACGTAAATCAAGCATATATAGCCCTAGTACAGATGTGAGTCCAGAAGCTCACATTTCCAACCATGCCTCTATTATATTTTGGATTGTATGCCTTGGTGCTTTCCTAAATAGTTAAAAATGCTAAGCTTGACATACTTCTAAGCTTGTAAACATTTTCAGCTCATGTCCTTTAATCAGAATATATTAAATGTAGTATAGTTAAGCTTCTCAGCCTCAGTTAGGTTGGCATGGAAAATAAATGATTTGTATGACTGGTTTATGATATCAAGCAAATCTTGAATAAATGAAAGCTTGACCTTGAGATGCTTGTCTATACCCCTATCCAGCAAATCACTATTGTTGATGGACTATATTTGAAGTTCTGTGAACAATTCTCCTTAAATGGAAGACGTTTTTATTCATCAATTAACATTCTGATTGCACTATGTAGAAGTCAAGGTCTTCTGATTCTATAGACCAAAAATTAACAAAGATATGAAACTGGATGAAATTCTTCTGCCACGCTGTCTATTGCAATTCTTTGTGTTTATACTTCTCCTTCTTTTAGTCCATGAAAAGAGAAACTGTTTAATACCACTTTTCTTGTTTAGACGGTTTTCTTTTCTACTCGGTATGAATGAGACAATATTTCCTCATTACAATCTTTAAGTAAATAAGGAACCCTCATTATCGATCTTTAAATAAATGAGGAACAGAAGAAGAGGAAACAATCGTTAATTTACCACTTTTTCAGTGTTAAAACCCATGCTTCTTTGTCTTTAAAAGCATAAGTGAAATGAAACGTGATGATAAAAGATGGTCACAACTTAACTCGTAAATTTGTTTTTTGGGTGCAGGCAAAATGCTATTCGCCTTGAAGAGAAGGAGAAGAGGGAAAAAGAGCTTCGAGCCCAAATTATACAAGAAGGTGAAGAGTATAAACAAGCTTTCTATGAGAAAAGAAAGCTTAACGTAGAGACCAACAAGACCACCAACAGAGAGAAAGAGAAGGTTAATCTTTCGAGAACTGTACTCCTGATTTTATGATTATTTCACAAAGAGAGAAATTTTGATTTGATAAATTTCTACATTGAACAGTTGTATTTGGCCAATCAAGAAAAGTTCCACAAAGAAGCTGAAAAACAATACTGGAAAGCTATCGCGGAGCTCGTTCCTAATGAGGTACCCAATATTGAGAAGAAGGGAAGGAAGAAGGATCAAGAGAAGAAGCCATCAATAACTGTCATTCAAGGGCCCAAACCCGGAAAACCTACTGATCTTTCAAGAATGCGCCATCTATTGGTGAAGCTGAAGCATAACCCTCCATCTCACATGTTACCGCCCCCGCCACCTCCAGCCAAGGATGGGAAAGTCGACAAAGATGGAAAAAATGTCAAAAACGAGAAAGATGTGGTGAGTAGTGCAACTGGATCAGTGGCTAAAGAGGCACCCAATGCACCTGCAAAGGATGCGACTTCTAATGGTTCTTCACTCGCAACTGAAGAACCCGTTGCTCCAGCCAAAAGCCAGCCTGCTAGCTGATTTCATTAATTAGATTGTTTCCTTCAGAGTCTTCCCTACGAAAAGGTTCTCTTTATCTCCATGATTCTAAATATCTTATTTCATTCATGCCAGTTTGCTAAACCAGTGTTTATGGAAGATAGAGAGTATTGTTGAAGACATATTCTTACATTTTTGAGCTTTTATCAATTGAGATTTGTGGTGTTGTGTACTGAATTGTTCGAAGAATATTATACATGGTTTGATACGGTAATCTTCGTTTCTGGTGTTCTTTCTTCATTAGGATCTGAATTGCCTGTTAATGCTGCTAAAACATATCTTCTCTGGGGTTGGGAAACATAGAAGTGGTCTTCTATCTTTCCCTTGGAAAATTTTTTTCCCTGTTGTTTTTAATTATTTTAATGAGATAAAGTATTTATCTATTTACTCGTCAAAAAGTAAGCCATGCGATTTTAATGGTCCAGCTGATGGAAAAAGTCTTGAAGACACCAACTTGATGAGTTGAGGAGTATGTTTGTCATCCTGTTCAAATTTTCTTAAGAGTAAATGTGTAAAATCTTTCTATGTTATGTTATGTTGATAATTGTTGTGAAGTTCATATTATTGTTGTTAATAATCATTAAAAACAGCGTACTGTTAATAATTGTTAAGAAATGAACGCTTGTACACAAGAAAAATCACTTAGGTCCCAAATATACACAGAAAATAACATAAAATGAAATTCACGTAAAGCAAAAAGTTAAAAGAGATAAAAGGGTGTGTTAAAACATCAAGCTTGTTGGCCCCAGGTTGCCCAGTTAGCCTCACTCCGTGAAGTTCATATTATTGTTGTTAATAATCATTAAAAACAGCGTACTGTTAATAATTGTTAAGAAATGAACGCTTGTACACAAGAAAAATCACTTAGGTCCCAAATATACACAGAAAATAACATAAAATGAAATTCACGTAAAGCAAAAAGTTAAAAGAGATAAAAGGGTGTGTTAAAACATCAAGCTTGTTGGCCCCAGGTTGCCCAGTTAGCCTCACTCCCAACCCTTGGCATGCTATTAACTTTAGAATAGGCATCAACCATGAAATTGGCTCCGCACATGGCTCCTTCACTGTCAATTCTGGGCATGGCTTTCAGTTTGTTCATTGGATGCTCAAAGCTCATCAAACCTCTTTCACTATGGTACATGCACCCTGCATTCGTCCGAACATCGAGTTACATGATGCGCACATCAAAACCATCGTTCTTAAGACCAAAGAGTCAGACACAAAAGGGGATAAATCAATCTGTTCCTAGTTCTCGTGGAGTTGGATTCTCCAGAACCACAAGAATTCTTACAACGAGATTCCAACTCAACACCCATTGAGCGATATTTTGAGAAGAGTTGTTCTTTGGATTGAAATATACTTAATTAATATATATAAATTATTACACTTTTTCCTGATTTTACACAAACACGGTCTCAAATCCAAATAAAGGAGAAGGTTATTTTCAGAGTCTCAACATACCTGGTGGGAATGGGGCAAATGACTTTCTGCAGCTAGATTTGATGAGATCCACATTATCAGAGATCATAACAGAACCATCAGCTGCTATGCCCCAGAAGAGCTTCAATGCATCATCAGCACCCTGCCCACAACAATATCAGACAAATTTTAACACTTTATTGAAATTATTGACGATGATCAATACTTACAAGGGCAGTAAACACAGTTTCAGCCTTGTGATCATAGATCACAAATCCAAAGCTTCCTTCAAGATCCTTAAGGACCTGATGAGCCGGGTATGGGCCCCGGTCTCGGAGGGTCCGATATGCTTCAATTACAAACATGGCCTCATTGCCACCCTTTGATAGGCCATATTGCTTGTTAAGGGTGCACAGGTTGTTTAAACTCCCCCAGAAAATGCAGTACATGTCATTTACGCCACAGAACAACCTGCAATATCATAGCCCATTTTCCAACAGAAAGTGAAAAGGATTTTATATTGAAATTTGAAGCCATTGACAAACAAGAAAACAAAGAAATCATAAGATAAAAAGGGAGGATTTTACCTTTGATGTTCCTTGAATGAGGGTTGAGGTGGGGCATAGGCCAATAAAGCCTTATCACCAAAGCCAATGGAAAAGCCATTGCAGGCATCAGATAGAAAACCCTTCAATATCTCCTCAGGATTTTTGGGGCTAATAGAAGCTTGAGGTGAAGCTGGGCTATTCAATTCTTGTGGTGGATTTACCAAACCCTTCTTGAATATTGCCAACATTTTCTTTTTCCAACAAGAAAATCGTCAGAAGTGACCAAATTGAATGTACCCACAGAATCAAGAAATTAACACTGACTGGAAAATGTATAAAGGATGGGAAATCCGTGTGCAATGTATCGAGCATTTATAGTGAAAGGTGGGGAGCTAAAGTAGGTGGCAACATTATCCAAAACTAAAAGATAATTAAAAAAGCAATTATGCTAAGTACAGGAAATTTTAACCTACAATCCATGACATGGAATCATTAATGATGGCAATGGGATGAGCCGAGCTCGTGGGCTCGCCAAAAATGGCTCGTAGGCACACAACCCACAAGCCGCTCGTGGGCTCGACGAGCGGAGCATGCTCGGCTCGTGGGATTGAGCCCCTGCTCTGCTTGGGCTCATCATTTGACGAGCCCGAGCCACCTATGAGCCGAGTTTTAATGAACCGGCGAGCCGCTTGACTAGTTTAACATCCCTAGTAATCATTGAAGGATGAAGAGAGAGAAGAAAGGTCAATCGTGCATCGCTACATCAACATCGATATAAATTCTATCAACCTGTACTTATAACTTTTTCCTTAAAAAAGTACAATGTGGGCACTTGGATCAAAGACGTAAAATTATTTTGTGGGTTTAGATGTCAATTTAGATCACTAATTTGTGAATCTTGAGAATTATGTGATAATAATATTGATAATTATAATTTATTTAGGGATGATTAGATAGATGGTTCAAGAAAAAAATGGTTTGAAAATTGGGATATACGACGACTTGGTCAGAAGTCTTATCCACATTTACAGGTGACCATGACACTTTTCCTAGTCAGCAAAAACCTTTTGTCGGTATAGATGCGTGAAATTCTCTTCCTTCTACAGTTCTCACGTCCCGTTTCAGAGCGATTTTAAGAATTAACTTTTTGACCGCTAAGAAAAAAGTCGGGGTCACCTGGGAAAAATGAAGTCAATCTTTAAGACTGAAATAGTGAAATAACGATCAAAAAATCAATTTTTTGGTGTGAAAAATCACTTCCAAACGGTCCCTTAATCTTTTCTTTCTTTCCATTTTTTTTTAAATAATTAAATAAGTAATTTCACTCTGGAAAATGTTATGTAGTTTTGGAAGATTTTTCCTTTTTTTTCTTTAATCAAGATTTGGAATATTTAGAGATAGACATGCTAATCACAATATGAATGAAGGATATGTCCTAAGCCTGCACTTGTTTCTTGAATTTAGTATTGAATTGTCCCTCAATTGCAATTTAAAATGTTAAAGTTAAATGACAAAATTTAATGATTATACAAAAAAGGCAAATTTGTTCTTTTTTAACAGTGATCGATCTTTTTATTGTACGATTTTGAAACGGTAGAATTAAAAAGAAAAATAAAATAGAATGTTGCTAAACCTAGTCAAACAAAGTCATGGAACGTTTCAGCCCATTCCATACCGTGACTCACGTTGGTAACACCTAGTCGAAAAGGAATTGCTAGTTATAACAATGATTATTTTTTTCAAACAAAAGAACTTGTAATTATCCATTCAACATGAATGTATTTATAATTTTTACCATTTTTCAATTTTCTCCTCATGTCGATCCTTTTCATAAATAGCAAAAAGCAAAGGTCAACAAATTAATCTCAGTTCTATTGGTCGAAACAAACTGTTTGAATAAGAGCCAATTCCCTATATGTGACCAATCATGCTGGGGTGCCAGATGAATTTTGACACTTCGGTTGACCTACACTCACAATTGGGGTAGGTGGAGTGCCAATTTTTACATTTTTTACCCCCTTGAGATCGGAGCGGGTCCCATACCAATGTGAGTGTAGGTCAACTGAGTGTCAAAATTCATCTGACACACTAGCTTAATTCATCTGTGACAACAACAACCTGCGACAAGACATCATGGTTTATTAAGGTTTTCAACTTTTCCATTGCGTAGGTATAATTTGCTTCCCATTCAACTTCCATGAACTCGTAAGCAACAGAAAAATGTCCTCTAGGTTAAAGTAACCCCAACAATTCCAAAAAGAGTGCATCGATACCTGTTGGTTTTGTAAGTACAATCAATTATAAGTACACATAAAAAAAATTATGTGAAAAATCGACAGATGTTGGATGTGCAAAAAAAAAGGTCTCTAGCTTCATCTATTTTTTCATGAGACCTATGCCACGCAACTTCTAACTTGCTTAGTAACTATTGCATTTGTGTTTTTCCCGCCTTATCGATCAATCTATGTCTTGCATGTGCGTTGTAAATAGTACTCATTGTGCTAACATTATTTGGATCCTGTTCTTTCAAAGTCATCAATATGTTTCTAGATTTTACCAAACTTTTTGACATATCCATTAAAATATTTTCCTCATCGTTAGTTAATCTTGCCACATAAGGTTGTCCTTCTAAATGTTGTGTCGTTGTGTGATTTTGTAGTCCACATAATACTTTTAACATCCAATTGTGCTCTCGACAACTTCACACCATTTAGATCAAATGGACACCAACACTTACGTCTTACGTGTTCCAACAGATCTCTTTCGTTCCAGATTATGATCAGAATGATATTTACGTTTTCTATATTTTCCACTGTGCTCACATCCATACCATATATGAGGCTGCGTCCATACCCACCATGCTCAGAATGTATTATAAAATTAACCAAACTAAGCTCCTTCTTGCAAACCCAATTAGACAATGAATCTCGACTATGAAATACTTACACCATCAATATTAAAAAGATATAATTACAAAATTTTGTAACAAGAATTGAATATTGTACACATAAAGTTAACATTTGTTTCATTCATACTTGGTCAGCAGTAAAATTTTGTATCTAATCATATATATTGAAGTTTTCGTCA